GCAAAGAAATCTTCCCCAGATCTTTGGAATTTCTTTGGTCTTCATTTTATACCTTTTATTCTTTTGTCTCTTTGAACCGTTACACCAAATAACGGATGCCAGTAACGTTGCTGGTTAATGAATATTGGAATTAGACTCCTTTTATGTTACAAAGTTATCTAGGATTGCAGCAACCAATGATATTGTTTCCAACATACTTGGTTAAAGAAAATAAACAAAGACTAAACTTTCTCTCTGCCAGATTTCACGATTTCAACTGAAAACTCCTGAAAAGTTGTAAGAAAAGTTCGCAAATTTTTCTGCTGGATCAACAGCGATAATTTGTTTTATTGTTTCGTTATTGTTATATACTGAAGGCTTAACGTTTCCTGAGACATATAAAGGCTCTTTATTCAATGATTTTTCTTTTATTCACTTAGATGTACTGAGGACAGTTTACAACTTAACGGCTGTATCTCTTGTCTTCTCGTTGTCATAGTATTTTATATTCAACGTCAAGTTAAGATTTAAGTTAGATCCCATTAGAAATGTGAAAGCAGTGTGCTTCAAAAAGCAAGATTGTTGTGTAAGTAAACTTACACACAGACACGTGTTTACATTGAAACATTAACTCCTCGGTTAAATAGATATGAAATGAAGTAAACTGATGAGGAAGTGTGTAATGAAGTAACGAAACCAAAACAGTAGAGAATGATATCTTGAGAAAGATAAATTAGTAAGAAAACTCAAAATCAATTGAATTATTTATTGTAATACTTAAGAATCAATTAAGCGAGTTTACAAATAGTTCATTACAACGATTCGAAGACTCAGAAAATTTGCTTTTAATTTCAGTGGAGGTTAATGAAATCTAGAAAAAAAACAAAAAATATAAATAAATTGGTCTTAGTGCCCTCTCTAAGTATTTAAATTAGTTACTTTCTTAATACCACGTGATAAGTTTCAGAAAATCACTTTTACTGAATTATTTTTGACCCCTATGACTCATTAGTCACTCTGAGGACTAAAAATTGGGGCTTGATACCGACGATGGGTAGAGCACAGGTATCGAGCGCATCGTGTAGCTATGTGTTAAACAAGCAAAAAAAAACAGATTTCTTTGTTTCTTTAAATCAAGGCAAATCCTGCATTGGTTTCACTAGTAACAGTGATTATATTCCTCCGATGGGACAGCAGTAAGTGTAAGAACTTACAAGTTAAAACCCGGGGTTCGATTCCTTGCGGTGGACACGTAGCTCAATGTAGTTTTGCTCTAAAAACAAACAAACAAATAAACAGTGATTATAAATTTATGTTTAAATATATCCTCTCCCAAAACAATAAGTCTAAACCTATATGTGGTAGCCCTCCCAATGGCTCAGTAGTGAACTCGAAGGTTTAGAACGCTAAAACCGGGTTCCGATATCCGTGCAGGGCACAGCACAAATAGCCCATTGTGTAGCATTCGGCTTAACAACAAACAAATTAAATGTGGTTATAAGTTGTAATTAATGCACTTAAACATTTCCATATTCATGAACCACCGTTCATTGCATGGAAACTTAAAGGAACAAACCAAGCCAGTTGAAAGCTCACGTTAATGTTTACTGGTCAATGACACTTTGGTTTTATTTATGTCACTAATTAGTGTGTAGTTTGAGAGAAACTGAAAAATTAGTTATTTTGGATCTTCTAATATTTTTAAATTGCAAGGAGTTCAAAATATCACTGGAATAATGAAAATCCCATTATAATGATTTTAAAAAATTGGTTGTTTGTATGGATAAAAATTCCAAAGTAGAGTTAAATGTACTACTATGTACTACCTTTTTGTTTCTTTTACAGTGTCACGTAAGTTTTATGACGTTTAAAATTTGTTGCTGCCTTTGGCTGATACTAACTAGATAATTAATTTAATTTCTTTTTAATGTAAGCTTTTTCGTCCAAAATCGGGCCTTCATAATAATTTTAAATATAACTAAATATGAATGGAATTACAATTCAAAATATAAAAATAAAATAAATTAATAATACAACTGAACAAAAACCATTCACGAACTAAATATTTTTACAATTAGATGTTCATTTGTTTGTAATTAAACACAAACCTACACAATGGACTATCTGTGCTCTGCCCACCACGGGTATCGAAATCCTGATTCTAGCGTTGTAAGTCCGCAGACATACCAATGTGCCACTGGGGGGCTTAGGTGTTCGTTAGGGTAACTTTACGAAATATTTTTCGTTTGCTATTTGCTCTATTTAACAGTTTGAAAGCACTTTGTAGAATAGAAAAAATTATAAATTGTCCAATGCAACAAGTGTCCAAATTTTCACTTAATGGAATAATGCGTGTTAATTTATGGTTCCCAATTTTGGTGACGTTACATTTGCACTGTCTCACATATTTTCTATTCAGTTTGATGAAATTTTCGTGACAGTTGGAAAATTTTGTACAATGTGCAATACTTTAGGATCCACAGTTCGTGTTGCCATTAACTTTGCAGATGAGTTCTTTCCCGATCTTTAAGCACTTACGCGTGACACATCGTTCATCACCGCGAATATTCACAGTTCCGTCTTCCCTTCTCATATAATTTGCACATATTAAAAGTTGTACTGCATTTGACTTTTAAGACTTCCCCAGGTATGAGATCCTTCAGATTTTGACTTAGTTTTGATATAACAATTTTTGTGTAGCTACGAAACTACATCATTTCACTATACTCTCAGCCTCTTCTGTTTCAATGTGTTGTATTGGCTGTGGTTTATTTTAAGCATTTAAATTTAATTACGTATTTTGGAGGAATTTGACCATTTTTGATAAGTGAAAGTAGCTATTTGGTCGTAACAGGATTTACTTAAGCAGATTGGGAACGAGGGTTTTAATATTAAATGACTTTATTAGCAGTTGTTTAAGACTATTGTAACTCGGAAGGTTTAGCCGAAGCTCATCCGACTCTCTCCAAAATAAAGTCACGGGAAAGAAAATATTAATGTAATCTTAAATGTTTGAATTGATGTGGCGGAAAAACAGCACCTTATTAAGTTTATTTCTGAATAATAAAAGTAAAAGTAAGACACCTTTAGACGTTTTCATTTGTTTCTTAGAGCCTTGGTAGACACAATATAATGTAGGACTATTTTGTTTGGAGAATAGTTGGTTAAGATTTCAACAAAAATGAGCACTGATTTAGGTTAGAAACAAAGATGGGTTACATGAGTACTTCAGTAAAAGGAAGAGGGTTATAGCTACGAGGAACTCTAATCTTAGTACATTGAATGTGTGTTTTTCACGAACTGCAATCCTTCTATCAAGTCTGTGGAACACTGATTGATCACGTACGTTTTTGTAGAGAATGCTGGCTTAGACTTTCCTTTAAGTTTCAGTAATGACATAATCAAAAAAGGTACTTTTATCAGGGCACTTAAGTACTAGTGGTCATACCATCATTAGGTTTATGTCTTTATTATTGTTAGATGCAAGGAAAATAAGTGCAGATCTCACGATTTTAACAGAGTTAGGTGATAAAGATTGGTTGAAAGGTTCTCTCCAAAACAGAGTGTCTATTAAGTCTAAAATAATTACTCATTAAATTAAGGAGGCATAAAGTACATGTATTATTTCCTGAGCTTTCATGTTCTCAGTTATTTTAGATTGAACTGTAAAGAAACAGATAAATAAAGCTTTTTATAATTAAAACCACTTGAAGTTCAGGACAATGAACGTTTGTTGGTAGCGTGTATTAGAAAATAAAGTAAATAAAAGTTAAGGCTACAATAAAACATTACGAATGATACGAAAACCAAATAATTCTTATATCTTATAGAAGCATTTGAAGCTAGAAAACACACAGGTAGGTCAAATTGCAGTAAAACATCAAATATAATGTGAAAAACACGTATATCTAGAATTACAGAGCAACAGTTCAAATTAGAATATTAGCAAGGACAGATCAGGTTACAATAAAATATCAACTATCATGTGAAAAACACAGATGTTTCAAATCCAAGAGAAACAGTTGAAATTACGAAATTAACACAGGTAGGTCAGGTTATAATGAAACATCAGTCATAGTGTGAAAAACACAAGTAGCACAAATTGAAACGACGACATACACACACGTACATCATGTAACAATAAAATATCAAACTTAATGTGAAGAACACATCGGTAAGAAAACACACGACCTAGATGAACGTGAAGAGGCAATGTAACAGATTTGTTTGTTTGTTATAAATTTTGCGTGAAGCTACACGAGGGCTATCTGCGCTATCCGTCCCTAATTTAGCAATGGAAGACTAGAAGGAAAGCAGCTAGTCATCACTACCCACCGCTAATTATTGGGCTACTCTTTTACCAACGAATAGTAGGATTGACCGTCACATTATAACTTCCCCATGGCTGAAAGGGTGTGACGGGGATTTGAACCCGCGACACTCAGATTACGAGTCGAGCGCCCTAACCATCTAGCCATCTCACAAATGGTAAAAAATACGTTGTCAGTAGATTAGCTTAGGGGCAATGAGTATAAACATAAGTGAACAATAAGTAATAAAATGTAAATATGGAACAGATTAACTTGTTTTGGGTAATAAAACAATACTAGCGTTAGTTGACCAGTGCAGTTGTGAATGATATTTGATCTATTCTGCTAATAAGGGCTGTCGATTAATGGAGGTTTGTTTATAGAAAAGTAATTTACAAAATATTGTATATGAAATAAATAAATTTATAGTAACCAAGTAATATAGGAACGACAAGGAAATTAGATAAATAACTGAAGGTTTTCATTTTATTCACAGTACTGCTAGTTACATATCACAATTACAAAAATGGGTCAGAAAAATTCAATAACCTTCACATGACAGGTCACCAATATCCAGAAGATGGCGCTATTGCATAGTATCAATACTCTAGTCTCAGAGAAGCGCCTGCGTTTCGACAGACAGTGGGGCGACTTGAAACTTGTGGTTAGGAAAATTCGGTTTGGTAAGATTTTTTTTTCCATGAGGATTATTGTAAGTATGAAAGAGGCAGAACTATGCTAAAGTAAATTACTTAATTAAATATATACTTTTTAAAATATAAGTACCTTCGACATGCGCATCGAAGCTTTCCTGTTGAATATTTCTTGAACGAAGTATAGTGACAGCCCTCATTATGGGCACGAGTATTTTTCCTGTACTGGTAACACGTGGAAGCCCATGGCAACGGTTACCTGCAAACATTGTACTCCATGGTCTCGTGCTATTTATTGCTATCAGCTTTCTGGCACATGTTAGCTGCGACTACAATGTGCTTTCGAGTAAATATGAAAAGGTAAGGTATTGCTTCAAATTTTTATCAGAAATATTAAAACAATACTTTGTTATATCTGATAATGTTTGCTAATAAAATACAAAAGTAAAACAGCACAAGTTTGTTACATATACAAATAGAAGTGCTACTTTCTTTAAAGTGAAAAATTTTGTGTTCAAGGAAATGCTTAGAAATTTGAGTTTCTACACTACTACCAATTATTTTTGTAGTTGTGTTATTCAAAACCTACATTTTGGACTTTCTTAATAATGCGTATTAAAGTATCAATGAGATTTATTGTTACTTTAGCTTACAAGTAGTATATGTAGAGATAGTAACATTTCGCAACATTAGACGAATTGGTGCGTAGAGCTGATACTCTATTTGATTGATTGGACTACTGTAAAAACAATCACTCTTCAGAATTCCATACACGTTACATTTGTCATTTCCAAATTTTATTCAAACTTTCGTTTGTTAACATGAGAGAATACTTGTTTCAGTCAGAAGTGGTGCTTGGGCGAAACGTATATCGAATTAAAAAGGAGGAAATAAAATATAATAAGCGAATCTCAGTTAATTCTGTTAATTTAAAAAGAGAAATGTACGATAAAAAAAATAAGAAAAATCTGCCATAATCCTGTCGCTTGGTTTTCTGTCAAAATGGAAAACCCAAAATCCGTGAAAGTGACGCTTTTGCAGAGAGAATAATAGATCTTTCAACTCCTAGTTCGGGTGACCTGTCCATTACACATCGTATATAATTCGGAAGCAGCACATCCATAACTGACGCATTGGGCAGAAGAAGGCGAAACTTATTATGTGCTCTATTCTTCAACTACAAAATCTTATTCCCTCTAGACGTACCTATATTTCAAGCTGAAAGAACAGATATTATTCAACTTGCAGACAGAGAGTGATCATTTCTAAATACAATTTTGTCGTAGTTGAAAGTGTTGGCAGGTTGATAGACATTGATCGTAATACTTAAGCGGACTTTATAGTGGAATTGTATAGATAAAAAAATAATCTACAAAAAAAAACTCGACGAAATATTTGTAAAGTTTTTTCCATTCTTCTTGAAAATACCTATATTTCTTCTATATTTAAAAAAGAAGAGAAATATTTTAGAAAACTTGTAATGTTTACTATGCATTGGTTAGCGATGTTTTATAAATTATATATTATTACTGTACAGAAAATGGGAAAAGTGTCCTGTTTTCAACAAACTTATATTTGAATTGATATCACTCCACCTACTCCTCCACAACAGTCTGAGAGTAATCGGTGTGTTATAAAACACTGTGCTCTATATTAGCCATGAAAATTATCCTACATTCAGATTAACTGAATGAATTTTACATATTATTTTATTTGTCATTTTAAACAGGCTCATACAAAAGGTTCTAAAGCAGATCTTATGTAAGCATATTATATAATTGTTGTTCTCATTGAGAAGACCTAGTGAAGACCTATTTTGTGTTCTCATTTAAATTGAAAACACAGTCTAATTTGCACATAAGTAGAGTACAAGAAAACACTAACGTTGTATGACGTATAAATGAATTGCTTTTTCTGATAATCTAAAAATACAAAAGTGTTTCAAACGACGTATATTCACTGAACATCTAGAAACAATAATGCTTCTTTAGCAAGAACTGGGCGTCGTCCCCCGGTTCCTTATAAAGGGTTAAGTCGAGGGCGGAAACATAGCGCATTTGGTGCGAGCACTTTTAGAAAAATCATTAAACAAATTCATGTTATAGTCACAAACGAAATTTTTTTTATTGGTTTTACATAATTTATTATAAAAAGAATTTAAAACATTTTTATATCGTATTTTGTATAAATCCATTCCTATTTAATATACGCACGACTGAATGGAATTGAATATACTAACACGTTTTGTTTGGTTGGTATTTCTTGTAAATGTTTAAACGTTCTCGGAAGATATGTTAATTTGCAGTTTCATGGGTGTTGTTTCTTTAAAGTACCTGCAGTTTGTAGTTTACATTATAATAGCAGGCAGATTGTTGGTTTAAAATGTTCAGCCAAGTAGAAATTTCTCAACTACTCGATTATTGTTAGATGTAAATTTTTTTAATGTAGCTTAAAATATTCGAGGTGTATTGCCTTTTGTTTCATATCTAAACACTTACAGCTTTGAGAGTAGACGATTAACATAGATACTTGAAATGACTAATAACCACGGAAAGTAAAAGCAGTTTAAAAACTACTCGAAAGCACCGACGACCTGAACCTCAGCTGGTTTTAGAAAAAAATTAAGTTTTCTTTTTGTAATGATTACACTAGCAGGCACATAAATATCTCAGGTTTACCATGAAAATGTGAAAATATTTGATTTATTTTGCTGTGAGAGAAATTCAAAATTTTCTAACTCCCAACTACTAGGATGAAGCCTTAAAGAACTCAGAAATCATTTTAGAAAAAAATACTATAACTTGTTTAGAAAAGCTTCATCATTGTTTTCATACTTAAAACTTTCACGTATGATGATAAAAAATCTTAATGCTATTACAGATACAAAACTTATTTATCAAAAGGAAGAAAATCACCTGGAGCCATATTTAACCCATCCTCTTAGTTAAGGGTTATTAATAAGATATCCCAGACAGTAGGGTAACTTTACTGTAAAACAAGATATAACAGACAGTAGGGTAACTTTACTGTAAAACATGATATCTTGTTAATATCCCTTAACTAAGAGGATGGGTTAAATCACAGATATAAATGATTTAACCCATCCTCTTAGTTAAGGGTTAAATGAAAATGACATTTTTATTTCAAAACTTTGAAGTGCTTTAGACCTAGGAAATTGCTACAAGAATCTTGTATTTTGCATCAAAACATCTCGCATGTATGTAACTATGCTTTTTCAGCAAGATAGCATGTTTTGCACCATAAAATAGAGAAATGTCAATAATCAGTAAGTGCAAGATCTGTTAACCCCCACCGGTATTACGTTAACAGTATAACAACTGGTGAACAGCTAGTAGGATAAGATGACGTACTGAAGAAAAATATCAAATGAAAATACCACGATGAAAACTTGCTTTGAGTGATTCAAATACTCGAGAAAATTAGCAATTCTTAATATAAATACCTGATAAAAAGATATATTATGCAGTTGTTAAAGAACGTTTAACTAGGTATAAGATCGATTAATGAGCGCTTAATGACGTTGATTGTTTGTTTGGAATTAAGCACAAAATTACACAGTGGGCTATCTGTGCTCTGCCTACCACGGGTATCGAAACCCGGTTTCTAGCGTTGTAAGTCCGCAGACATACTGCTGTGCCAGTGGGGGCTAATGACGTTGAGCAGAGATCAGTTTCCAGAAATGCACAAGTTCTCTTAAGTACTTAATGAAGATGAGTATGATGATCTGATAATGATGAAACATAAGTGACAGAGGTCTAATGAACAATGCTATAGGAATATGAATCCTACAGAGCCAGTCATCTAATCTAGATATAATGAAGATGATAAAAAAACTTTCACGTTTTCTGAAAACCAAAAATTAATCGAGATGAACATTGTATAAAGTATGGTGAACAACTATAATAAGGACAGAAACTCGATTTGAGAACTGTAGTCGTAAAACTTTACTAGAGAAATAGTAAAACGTTTTTTTCCTATTTCGATAGTATGTGAATTATAAATCAAGCAATGTAATAATGTGGAACATTGAGCCAATAAAAAAGATTCAACTGATTACTGTAATTTCTTTTTGATAAATAAATGTAAACATTAGTTTCATGAGAAGTTTATTTGAATATTTTGTTCTGCAATTTTTCATAGACCTACTTTGATTATGTGAAACGGTCTCTTTACTGTAATTTGTTCTCTGTGGGGTAGAACTTGGGTTACACATTTATTTAACACTTTACGAAAAAGAAGTCTGGTTTTTATATATAAGTTCGGAGTAAAATCATTCTGGAATTGACACGAGAAATCTTACTACGTGAGGCTGTCGCTGTGTAAAAATATTGGACAGAGTAATATCGCTGTTCTTCATAAGGTTATATGTATTTACAAGAATTGTTAATTCTAAACGTATGTGCTCGACTCGCAATCTGCGGGACGCGGGTTCGAAACCCCGCCACACCAAACATGTTCGCTCTTTCATCCGTGGGGGGGCGTTATAATGTGCTGGTCAATCCCACTATTCGTTGGTAAAAGAGTAGCCCAAGATTTGGTGGTGGGTAGTGATGACTAGCTGCCTTCCCTCTAGTCTTACGCTGCTAAATTATGGACGGCTAGCGCAGATAGCCCTCGTGTAGCTTTGCGCTAAATTCAAAACAAACAAACAAACTAAACGAGTGAATTAAGTAACTTTTTAGTATCAGATTGAATTTATCAAATGCCTCACAGGATGCTTTGATATCTTTAGCGTTTTTGGAATCGAAACCCGAATTTTAGCTTGCAAGTCCGTAAACTTACCGCTGACCCAGTGAGGGACTACATTTTAGCAACTTTAAAACCAACTATATTATGTTTCTTTTAATATCAGTATTCGAAATAATAGCGTTGAAATTTTAATTTTCATAAGATATTTCAGGAAAACAATGTTTTGGTAAAGTTATCAAAAACGAGAATGACTCTTGTTCTATCAAATAACGTTGCCACCTGATGCATTCCCAGTTTACTAACGTTTTATGAGGGTTTCGTCTATACCAAGTTCAGTTATTTTAATACAACAGTATTTATATGTTTGAGCTATAAGCAATATAATTTATATTTGTTTCTCTTTGTACCTTTAAAATTTCTTTTCAGCAAATATCTCTAAACAAAAGTATATAATTGTAGCGAATTAGGAATGATTTGGAACTGTCTCAGTGTATTAGGCTTTGAAATTTTATGTAATGTAAAATAAATAAGTATATAGTAATTTGTTTCTTTTTAATTACTAAAGGCGTTGAGGTGCTAATACCTTTTCTAGTTATTTTTAAACTAACATATTTGTACATGTTAGTGTAATTTAGCTCACCAAAACTTTT